AAAAACCAGGCAGTGAAATTTTTTTGAAACTTGTTTTTGCTTATAAAAATATGGCTTTAAGTGTCCTCTATACGATGGTGAAAACCGCAGGCCGCTAAGACCTTTCGTTAAAAAATTATTTGAAAAACGGCAACCGCCACGACCTTTCCGTTTCGATAGTAGATATTTATTTGTTTTATTAAATAAAACAAAAATCGATTAGATCGAAAAGAAAATGGTTTACATAGCCTAATACTATTGTGTTAAATAACAATGTCAATTAGAAGTATTATAACCATTATAGTTAATTTAATAAATATTTACTAACTGCGTATCGTTGTATTGACAAACATACATTTAATATAAAACGTAAAAGTAAACGTAGTATGCTACGTACTTTAGAAGATCTCGAAGAAAAAAATTTCAAAACTAATGCAACAATTGTAAATGTAATTGCTGTGCGAATATGTTTTAGTTTTTGAATATGTTTTTGACATCTTCCCATTTGATTTAAATCTTCACGTAAAAGATATTTCTTAACTCCAATACAATAATTTTTCATATAATCGGACCAATTTATATTTTTTGTTTCAAATCCAAATAACTCCAAATCAATAATATTCATTTCATTTTTTAATATTAAACTATTATCTTTTGAAAAATTCCATTGATGCATAGAAAAAAAGTCTACAATGCGTACAGCTTTATTAATTTTATTTGATAATTTGACAAATACGGGTTTACGACCAATTAAATACATATAAATATCAAGTAAACATGATGGTAAGAGTTCCTCCACTATTCGTTTAAAAACGAAATTAAATCTATTATTTGTAAATACCCAATTTGGAATTGTAATAGGATTTTCAAATGGATTATTATGCACATGTTCTATGGCATATGTGGCCAATTGACCCCATGATGGACATTTATCAAGAGAACAATGATACACAGCAATATTTTTAGATTGATTAATTGCTGCTGTATACCATGCAACTGCTATCATCATATTAACAACAATATCGACAGGTACTACATCAGCTGCAGCATATTTATTTCCTAACATTGTTCGAAGCATACCTTTACCAAATGAAACATACATTCCAGATAGTCCATTATAATTATCAATCCAACCTAAATTTTAAATGTTAAAAGATAGTTTTAGATGCAAAATGATAGTTCTTGAACACTTTGATGATAAACACAATGTTAATACAAAAAAACGAAGCAAAATAGTGCCGCGCAAAGTCAGGTGTTTTCCGATAGTTAGATTAGTAAAGCGAGCTAATAAAATCACTCCGCAATACACATTTGAATCAAATTCTAGTAACGATATAATGTAGTTTTTGGTATGGTTACTGGCAGACATGTGCGCTGATAAATAATGCTTCGTGGCGGCACTTAAATTTTGCTCGATCAGCGGTGCGTTATCCCACAATGTTTTTTGCTTAACCCCGATATTCTTTTGTGCCGTTGGCGGGGCATGAAAAAAACCTCGATGGAAGGCGTTTTGCCTGTGCACGTGTCTGGTTACTGCTGTGTTCAGTCTCTATTCATTGGATTAGAAGCAATGTGCTAGTTGTGGCTCACTAATCTTAATAACTATGCATTAATGGAGCTGCCAAGATAACTAATCAAAACAGTCGGCTAATTTTAAGTAAGCTGTATGTTCATATTCTACTAGTTATTCAGCGTGTTCACATGGCACTTTACTGCTACGTCATATCCATATCTATTCGCAGCTTCCTTTAGCTTCTGAAAGAAATACGGAGAAATCAATCGTTGCTTAAACTGTGTGTTAGGGGACTGCAAATCTTAGAACGTGCTTGTTAATAGGGGTGACAGTATTACTATTACTCATGTGAGATAAAGAACGCTAAGTATTGTGAGACATTCGCTAGTTCAAGTGAACTAAATTTTTATAAAATGGTCCCTATAGGAGCCATCGGGCACGAAAAGGGTCAAAAAGATCAAAATCACTAAAGAAAACCACATTAGAGAATGTTGTTTATATTTAATTAGAGGAGAATACTTAATATGTCTAATTTACTACTGATCAATATCTAACCTGGAAATGGTTCTTTCAGTGATGCACCAACAATCGATGGTCGTATAATGGCTACTGGCAAATTGTTTCCTTCTTCTAATAAAAGGTATTCAGCTAATGATTTTGTGTATGTATATGTATTTGGACGATCTTTAATTATTTTATTTGTGAGTACATCGAATACACTATCATTCATCCATTCAGCTGCATCTATCAACTTTTTGGGTTGTATCAGTGGTGTATAAATAATTTCACTTATATCGCTACGATCACAGTTTGCATAAGCTGTTGAAACATGTATAAGTGCTTGTAATTTTTTCATTTTATGACAAAGTAAAATTAATTTTCTAGTAGGTGTAACATTCATTTGAATAGCTAATCTAAGTGGTTCATTAAATTTAATTGTTGCTGCTGAATGAAATACAATATGACAATTTTCAGTAAGTAAATGTTCATCATCGAAATTTATACCAAAATTTGGATCAAGTATATCACCTTCAATTGGTATAATTTTATTTTCAAAATTTGGATTTATTTTACGAACAGAATCAAATAATGGAGAAGATAAAAGTTGTTTTACACGATCTACAACAGTGTAACCACGTTTCGGTCTTACAAGTATATAAATCTTTTCGATATTTGGACATGAGCTAATTAATTTTTCAACTAATTGTTTACCAATAAAACCAGTAGCCCCAGTAATAAATATTGATTTTCCATTCAAAAATTCGGTAATTGCGCTGATTTTGTTCATATGTGTCATCAAATATAAAAGATACACCAAAACTTTTTTAAAATAGTTTTAATTATATACAAACCACTTTTAATTCTGCGTTCTGTATTCCCTATTTATATATGTACGTTTTGCGTTTCATAAACTTTTAATTTTCTTCGTTTCTGTTTCTAAAACAATTTTTTCGACAAACAATACTTGAAACTGAAATATTTCGAAATTCATTCAATAAGGTCATGTACATATTTGTAGTATCATGGCTACGAATGTATTACTTCTGCGTAGTTAAGATTATTCTTTTCTTTTTTTCTTTCTGACACTCTTTATTTCGAAAATGTACCCATTTTTTTTTCGACTCTGCAAGTATTGTGAATTTTTATATAACAATTTTTCTACAAGCTACACAATCATACATAACTGTTCTTACAAATAATGTCATCGAATGTGGTAAATCATACAAATTGACGAATATGACTGACTGATAAAATTTTTCATATACTTGATCAAATAAAACTATGTTGACCTCAGACGTACGAAACACAGTTGGACTTGTCCCAAGTAGGAAATGTAATGATCTAAACAGTTTCACAGAACTCTTACTTAAATATTTTATTCCACTTTCAATTTGACTTGTCATACTTTATGCATAACGCCAACGGAGACAATACTAAAAGAAAGTCTTATTTTTCTGCAGTTTTTGGATTTTTCAGCAAAAAAATATATTCATGCTGTCTATTTGGATGACGTGTCATTAAAGTATTTACACTCAAAGTAATCATTTCTGAATAACATGTTTTCTGTGTATCGAGGTGTTTCTCGGTTCCATTTTATAAACATGATTGAGTATGTTAGATTCGGATATATGATAAATCTCAGAATCAATAAATCGGCAAAAGGTATATAATGAAGTAGTTCTTTTAGGATGATTGCAAAAACTTTTGAAAAGCTCTTAAAGCTACTTCAAACACTTGGCAGCGATACTGGTGATCATTTATGAATATAGCGAAAGTTTTTATACGTTCAGTATATCAAGAAATGTCATCGATAGAAGATTGCATTTAGAAGTCAACGTTGTATGTGACTTCACAAAAGGCTCTTAGAAAACTTATATATTTTTATTTATAAAGTTTGACAACTTTCCGTGTTTGCTTAAGTTGTACCTATCTCAAATGGTTTTTAAAAAATGTTATCTGTTCTCTGACGGTACATTTCGAATATAAAAAGAGGGAAACGGACTGTTGCTGGCGAGGACATTTCTTCGCGGACATGGCTCGTATGACCATTTGCTCGCATGGACTGATGTTCGCTAGGATTGATGCTCGCCTGGACAGTTCCTCATCAGACACTTGCTCACCGAATACTTTAAATAGGAAAAATAACGTACTTTATGGAATGTATTCAAACTAATTAAAGTGTTAAATCAGAACCTTAAAAATTATTTATAAAACAGGTTCAAACTAATTATTATTACTACTTTTCACTGGTGCAGATATAACAATAATCAAGGATAAGGACTAGTGACGTGATTTCTTTAAGTTTTTATTGCATAGTTTTTTATTTGGCTGCATGCAACTGATTTTAATGTTATATTAAATCATTACAAAGTTCATTTCGAAATAAAATGTATTCCATAAATCTTTCTTTTTATTGAGAAATTAACTTCTTGTTTATATTA